AAACAGAACACATTGTCGTCAGCTAAAAAAACAAAAACACTCCAACATAAAACTCAAAAATTGGAGATGGCAAAATCAAACGACAATTTAAATATCTGGGAAGTGTTTCAACAAAGAACGAAGAGTACGACATTGAAAACCAGAGGCGCACTGGTATAGCCAAAGTTACCTTCCAAAAGCTAAGCAAAGTATTAAGAAACAGGAAAATTTCGTTAGAAATAAAACTAAAGTATTGAACTGTTATGAAATATCAGTCCTCCTATATAGCAATGAATTCTGGACAGTCTTCTCACAGATGAAGAAGAAATATGGTTCTACAGAGGATGTTGAGAATACCATGGACTGTGAGTTATAACAAAGTTTTAGAGAAAATAGAAACAAAAAGGACACTTATACTTAACATCAGAAAGAGACAGTTGCAATTTCTAGAGAACTTAATGAGGAAAGATGGCTTGGAAAACATGATACTCTCAGGACTGATTAAAGGCAAGAGGGACAGAGGAAAACAACGCATAATCTACCTGGCGAGCTTGAATAAATGGATGCAGAACAGGGTTTAGAAGTGATAAAAAAACAGTCAAAAATTATTAAAAGTTACAAAGAACAGGAAATTGTGGAGTGCCATGGTCGCACACGTCCTGAAGTGACAAAACCCTGCTGTTTTTATTGCCTGTCGTATTTTACTCCTTGTTTTGCGATGAATTTCAAAAGCCCTGTACTAACTCGGATAATGATTCTTGGGTCAGCAGTAATAAACGCCATAGATTGCATCCTGGGAAAAAATGAAGAAAACATCCGAATGAGTTAAAAGAACGAGAAAAAAAACAAGAATAGAAGAAAGCAAGAATGAAATAATGTAGAAAGAAAAAAGTAGGTTTGATGGAAATAATAGCAAATAAACGAGAAAAGAAGGGAAGAGGAGAAAAAGGGAGAGGAAAAAAAGAATAGGGAAAGAAAGAAAGAAAGAAGAGAAAGAAAGGAAGAGGAGATTGATTGATTTGGTTTTTTTACGGATTATCAACCCTTTCAAGTTATTTAAAGTCAGAAAATATTGTGGTATTGTAAGAGTTTTATCAGCGATAATAATGATTTACTGGTAGAAGTCATATTATTTAACCCATAACTGGGGAAACAGAGATGGATTCATACCTGTCCCAAAGTATTTGTACGTAAGTGCATATAACGAACCCGATTGGAATTAAAACTTTGTTCATCAAATTCCAGTCCGAGCCGCTATTCATTACACCATCCGCACATCCAATCTTACAGCAATTAATATTCCCAAGCGGTCACTCATCTACGTTCTAACCAGGCTCCACATTGCTTAACTTCGGTGATATTACGAGGTCATACGTGATATGACCGGAAGCCGAAAATATGGAGAAAAAAGGAAAGTAGGTAAGATGGAATTAATTCCAAGAGAACTACTGGAGAAGAAGAAGAAGAAAAAAAAACTGTCGAAGGTATGGAGTAAGTAAAAAGAAAAACGAAAAAAGGAAGAGAGTAAAAGAAAAAAACAAGATGACAATGGGAGTAAAAAAGACAGAAAAAGTAGAGAAGAAATAAATAATAGAAACAGTAGAATATAAATTGCAAAAGGATCGGGGTTGGTGCTGCACAATCTTACCTTGCACAATCTTAACTCTCCCGGCTCGACAATGTTCAAAAATGCTTACGCAGCCTTGTGGATGATGAATTATTCTCTCTCAGTAAACCCATATCTCAGAGATTGAAAATTGCTTTCCTCTAACTGCTCTATGACAGATATTCGGACGAGTTACATTCCTCAGCGCCACCAGATCGAACCTTCGCAGCCAGGATCCCCCACCATGCTGTGTTCACGGTAAAAAAATCATTCCCATTTCCTTCGTGTTCATTTAATCAAAAAAGCAAGTCCCAGTCAAAGAGATTCCTCTCCTCTACAGAATTCTTACTTTGTGGAAGAACCGTGAGGCTGTTTCCCTGACAACGAGAATCACTGGTTTTCCTTTTGTTTAGGGTCAAGCGATATTCTACGCGCCCTTCTCCTTCCCTTAGAAAACTATTACTTGGTAATACTCTACTTTGAGAGGTCATTGGGTAAAGAAACGGTAAAAAAAAGAGACAATGTCAGAACGAAAAGAGAGAAGAAGAAGAAGAAGAAGAAGAAGAAGAAGAAGAAGAAGAAGAAGAAGAAGAAGAGAGGAAAGAGAAGAATAAAATAAATGAGAGGCAAACGAAGAAGAACAGAATTCCATAAGAAAGGAAAAACAAATAAAAAATAAGAGAGGGTAGAAGAAACATGGAACTGTAGGAGAGAAAAAAGGAAGACGGGAAAGAAAGAAAGAAAGAAAGAAAGAAAGAAAGAAAGAAAGAAAGAAAGAAAGAAAGAAAGTAACAAACAAACAAACAAAGAGGCAAAAGAAAGGGAGAAGAGAAAGAAGGGAAGAGGAAAAAGAAAGGAAGAAGAGAAAGAAAGGAAGAGAAGAAAAAGGAAGAGGAAAAAAAAACAGGGAAAGAAAGGAAGAGGAGAAAGAAAGGAAGAGGAGAAAAAAGAACAGAGAAAGAAAGGAAGAGAAGAAAGAAAGGAAGAGGAAAAAGAAAGGAAGAAGAGAAAGAAAGGAAGAGGGGGAAAAGGAAGAGGAGAAAAAAAAAGGGAAAGAAAGGAAGAGAAGAAAGAAAGGAAAAGGAAAAAGAAAGGAAGAGGAGAAAGAAAGGAAGAGGGGGAAAAGGAAGAGGAGAAAAAAACAGGGAAAGAAAGGAAGAGGAGAAAGAAAGGAAGAGGAGAAAAAGGAAGAGGAGAAAAAACAGGGAAAGAAAGGAAGAAGAGAAAAAAGGAACAAGGAAAGAAAAGAAGAGGAGAAAGAAAGGGAGAGTAGAATGAAAGGAGGAGGAGAAAAGGGGAAAGAAAGAGGAGGAAATTTCGTACATTTCAAGAAGCTGGTAATGAATAAACCCAGATGAAAAATATGGGGGTGCATTAATAAGTCATTTTAACGCGGGAATTCGTTCATAGGGAACATAACAAAATGTTTGAACATATATTCGATCATAAAGTCCTTTTCAAAGGAGCTTGCGTCCGTCAATCATATGTACAATATCGGCGTTACGTATAAAACAGCAGGACACTGAAAGAGTTTTTAATATTTTATGAGATTATGGGATATATCTGGGATTCATCATTATGACATTGGAAACAAAATTATTTTATCGAATATCCTTCTCCTGAAGCAAGGAAATTGATTTTGTCGTCTTTGTTGTTTTCTACACAGGGATTGTCAGTTAATTCGGTAAGGTATTTTGAATACTCTTAAATAGAATCTCCTCAGAGTAAGGACTGAAAAGAAATTTATAGCGCAGAGTGTCATCATAACAGTCAAGGCTGCAAGAGATGAGAAGACAGTGTATATACAGTGTGGAACTCAGATCTGTCTATATTTCTGAGATGAGGTATTATGTACACTATTTACATTATTCGGAATATTGTCCTCATCTTTGTCGCCATATTTCGGCCGTTGTACGCTCCAGCCTTCTTCAAGTGATTGGAATCTCACTGGGGTAGACTGTTCTAGTTCCAAGTGCCATGTTTAATGAATGTCAATGATCAGAGAGTTCTCCACTGCCCTAACCGGGTATTGAACTCACACACTTTGGGTCCTGTCACTGGATCTAACCAACACCTTTATCCACTGTGCCATGTGTATCAATCTCTGGGTATTATTTTATTAGTTATTATAAACCTAATGTCTTCAGCAACAATTTTTTACCAGTGCTCATATTACAATTTTTGCTGTTATCATCATGTTTTTACCAGAGCTCATACTGGAATTCTTGTTCTTATTATCGCTTTCCTCTGACACTCCTTATTAATGGTATCCATACTTAATCGGCCCAGGAGATTTTTGTGGTCTAGCATATGTGCTGATTCCAGTGAGCGAAATAAAGGGTTCAGTTCGACATTCCAACCACCTGAAGAAGGCCGGAGCGTACAACGTACTATGTTTGATGGATGTCAGTTATCAGTTATCTCCTGTTAACCGGGTATTGTGCATTGAACTCACATTCTTTGGGTCCTGTCACTGGATTTAACCAACGCCTTTATCCACTGTGCCATGTGTCTTTGAGGACATCTGTGTATGAATTTCTGGATTTTATAAACCTAATGTCATCAGCAACCTTTTTTTACCAGTGCTCATATTGCAGTTTTTTTGCTTTAATTATTGCATGATTTCACTTAGATATTTGCGGTATATTGCAGCTATCCTTAAAAAATTAAACGAAATTCGAATCTTACTGGCGAACCCACAAATATGGCGACGTCCCAGTTAATTTTAGCAAATACTAGTACTGATAGTGATGACCAAAAGTGATGATGATGATGATGATGATGATGATGATGATGATGATGATGATGATGATGATGATGCAAACGCAAGACGAGCATTATCTAAAATTATGGTGATGACGAAAACCAAGAAAGAGAAAGAAAATGGAAGTAGAAGGAAAGGAGGAGGAGGAGGAGGAGAGGAGAGGAAGAGAAGAGAAGAAAAGACAAAACCGAAATGGGAGAAATGGGAAAAGAGAAAGAAAAGTGTGAAAGGAAAGGAAAAAGCGAAGAAGTGATGCAAACTGAGAGAAAGAAAAGAAAAAAGAAAAGAAATTTTAGAAGATAAAACAAAAGGAAAAGAGAAGAAAGAGAAGAACGAAAGAAAATGATAAAAAAGAAGAAGAAAACAGAAGTACAGGAGAAGAGAAAAAGGAAAAAGAAGAAGAAGAATATAATGTAAATGGAGGAAAGAGAATGATAGCAGACGAAGCAGAAGAGAGAAAGAGCAACAAAAAAAAAAGAGCAAGACAAAGAAGGAGTAACGAAGGTTGAAATAAAGCTAACACAAAAGAAAGAAAGAAAAAAAAACGTAAAGGAAGAAGAATGCAAAACTTATTAAAAGACAGGAAATAAAAAAGGAAAGACACAAAAATGGTAGACGGAATATGGAAGGAAAAGAAAATGAAAAATGCATAGATCAAAAACATCATGACACTGAATGCTTCTTTACATTTCCGTTACTTCCTCCTCCAGGGAAAATAACCAGACAAAAAAGTAAAAAAAAAAAACTCATATGTTTTTTAGCCTGTGAATAAAAATGATGAAGTCGGTTTTTGACCATGTTCCTGCGAAGAGATTAGCAACATCGAAATGGCCAGACATTAAAATATGTCCTCGAGTGGTTAAGTAATCTGAAGAAAGGTGGACGAGGTCTGCAGGAAAAACAATTATAACGGTTCGGGAGGAAAAAAATATCAGATTTGACACAAATTATTTGTTCACCTTGCTAAAGTCAGCAGCGTAAATCCTTGGGCAAACAAGTGTGTTCGAGAGAGCTGAGCAGCATGGGTATATCGACAGGATAAACGTTTACGGTACCAGTGAGTTTGGATCAGTGATAAGAATACCAACCTATCTGGCAAAATAGTTTCTTCAATTCATGTAATTTAAAGGAAACACTTTATATATATATATATATATATATATATATATATATATATATATGTTCTCAGTGAACATTTCTAAATTAGTGAGCATTTTCTCTGATATGTTGCGTTCTTTGAACCTTCTGAAGAATATGTCATTGCACGAAAATTAAGTCAGTCTTTATTCTAGGCCGCATTTCTTTAGTTCATGCAAATTTCTAGAATATTGACCACATTGCATCTTAAATTGAGAGTTTCCCTAACGTATGTTAACTTAATTTTATCCTTTGGCGGCTTAGGCACGGTTTCTTTTTCTATTTTGTTGTTTTCATTAATTACAGACACACACACACACATATACATACATACATACATACATAAATACATACATATATACATACGTGCATACATACATATATTTTATTCGGATTTATTCTGAGAACTTTCTCACATTGTCGACATGGGACACAAAAACACACATGTCGTCAAAAAAAAAACAACAAACAAACAAAAAAAAACAGATAAACAAAAAAGGAATTGTTTCTAATAACCAAAAAGAGTCTAACACCATTGTGTCTTCTTAAATTTTTGAATTTCATGTAACTACACAATATTTCGATTTGTTTATCATCACTTGTCTTGATAAAGTCAAATGACGAAACGTATCGGCAAGGACTAAGTACTATTTTCCAATTGTCTACTTTATTCGGTTTGTCTTCTCTACAGATTTATTTCGAGATGTTTAACACGCACACACACACACACCCATATATATATATATATATATATATATATATATATATATATATATAATATTATATACAAGTTTCATTAAAGACAACTGATAAGGTACCCCGATTAAGCTTTTTTATTTGGTTTTTCTTTTGTTAGTATAAGTGTTTTCTTTTCTGAACATAAAATGTGTAAAATTGGAAATGTTCTGCCTATCCGAGGGCTTTCGGCTATCCTTTTAGCCATTGTCAAGGATGATTTTTATTTTTATTTTTAACTTAGTTTATGTATTTTATATATGCATTTAGACTCATAAGATTTTTTCAAACATCGCCAATACACTGTGGCCGTGTTCATAGCTGACATTATTGAGTAATGGCTTTTTCTTTTTTATTATCACTGATATATATATATATATATATATATATATATATATATATATATATATATATGTTTGTGTATATATATATATATATATATATATATATATATATATATATATATATATATATATATATATATATATATATATATATATATATATAACTGTTACACTATTTACATTTATCGAAATCCTCATTTTTATTACATTATTCACCACGTTTCGGCCGTTGTACACTCCGGCCATCGTCAGGTGATATTTGTTGTAATTTCAAACCGAACCCTGTATTTTATTCTTCGGGGTAGATTGTTCCAATTCCACATGGACTAAATTAAGGGTTCGGTTCGAAATAGCATTTAATATCATGTGAATATGGAGAAAAACAAACAAACAAAAAGACACAACAGACAACAATCCGGAAATGTAAATAGTGCAAATAGTTACAATATTTCATCACAGAAATATAAATATGCAAGTTACATCATCAATCATATATATATATATATATATATATATATATATGAAGAAATATAGTTTTAAGGTGTGCTATATTTATGGGATAACGTGCTCAATATCAGAGATAGAGCCTATGTAAATATAAATATAAAATGAAGTGAACATTGAAGGCTGTTCATGCTGACGCAGGCTGTTTCATGACGGTTGTGTCCAGCATGAAAACCTGTCGCCTTGTGTCAGTTGACTTCAATGTTCACTTTTATATATATATATATAAGTTATGAAGTCCTGAGAGCTCAATGTAAATCCAGAGCTAATAATTTAAATGGTCCAGCGTCCCTTAAAAGAGTTCTGGTGAAATAAATTATTACAATGGAACCTTAATGTGGTTTGTTTTTCTTTTAAAAAAAGTATATATATATATATATATATATATATATATATATATATATATATACTGTGTAACCGGATATAAGAGAAACCTGGATATAAGAGAGATTTTCTCTGGTCCCAAATTAGAGCCTGTGAAAATGTATATAAAATAAACCAAAACCCGGATATAAGAGACTTCAGGTCCCGACAACTCTCTTATATCCGGGTTACACTGTATATATATATATATATATATATATAATTTCATCCAAAGCAAAACGATAATATCACTGAGACGCTGGAGGTTTACAAAGAATGATGGAGAATAGGAAGACTTAGAGAAGAGAAGTGACGAAGGGACAATTAGGGACAGGGTACAGGTAGACAGATGATGGCGATTGAAGTTGCATTTAAATTTTGAAAGATTGTTGTTGGCAGGGAAGCAAGAAATCGGAAGGGAGATCTACAGTTAAGAAGAGCACGAAATGAAAATAGAAGTAACGGTGGCATCTATCTAATTCAACAGCAAAACAGTGAGACCTAATTGCCAATCTAGTATCACGCTTAAATTCATGCAATCGAAGAACAAAAAGAAAAAGCTCATCGCCACAGTTGCTATGAAAATATCTGGAAGAAAGACAGTTTGGTAAGTGTATTTTTAAATGAGTCCTAATTGAGCTATTGTTTTCTTGGTAGGCATGCAGTGATATGTCCAATCTAATTATTCATTAATTTGGTTAGATCGGGAATGCAATTCCTTAAGAGACGTTTGAATCCATAAATAATATTGGTTCTCTATAATATACTCGTAAAAACATACTACTATAATATCCCCATCCACATATATTAAAGGTTAAATTAATTGAAGCATTAATAATAAAAATGAAGTCATCCCTCAGTAACATCAACTATGAACACGGCCACAATGTGCTGGGCGTTTATGGAAAATACAAAACATTCCATCACTCTAGAAATATACCGTATATTTCCGTGTATAAGGCGAACTATAGATAAGACGAGACCCAAAATCTATGTAAATTTTCGTGATTTATCTGATATCCGTAATAAAAGACGACTGACTGGGACCCATATGATGAAACTGTACATGACGAAACTGTAAATGACGATGTTTATGATGGGCTCTTTGCATCATATGGAGATCATATTAATTTTGATGGGCTTTAATTATGTATTGATCCCATGTTCTAAATGGACATTTCTAAATTTTTAGTAGCGTGGAAATTGCCATCATGATTTTATCATTATTTTCTCGTCTAGCTCCATGTGCTGCCTATTTTTGATGTTTCTGGACGATGAAAATAAAACTTTGAATGTTTTTCTTTTTAACAATGATGTTCACCCTGTACAAGGCCCAAGAGCCACTCGAGGTAGAGCGTTACGGAGCAAGGGACACCATCTCAAAGGTGATAATAGCACCAAGATGCAATGGGGTGTCTTATGTATTTTTTAATTTTGTAATGAGAAATAATTATTTTATGCCATCTTTAATGTCTTGTTGCTTAAGATCGCAAAAAAAAAATACCGTATAATGTATGTTATAGCGAAATAAAGTGTTTATGTTATACTCAATGTTGTTGTTATTTAACTCGACAAAGATAATGAATTTTAATTAGAAATATAGATTCTATGTTATCCTAAATGTTGTTATTTAACACTGCTATGAGAAATAATGATTGGTGTGAACGCAGACATTACTCTACAAATCAAGAACGAACGATTTGTTTACTTGTGCGTGTTGCTCAGCAGAACTTTTGAAAATTGTTGTATAATCGTCTCTTGAATATTGCATTTTAATGTGAAATCAAGAAATAAAAGTAGTTTTGTTATTTTATAACAGTAGTACAGCTTTATAATGTGAATTGTTTCAATTAGAAATAATTACATCGGTAATTACCACACCGTGGTAGTTGTTAGTCTACTGTGATTCATGGTGTAAGCATATAAGCCTACTTACCAATGCCGATGAACGACAGGATTTAAGGCTAGCTTTTTATAACTGCTGTATTAAATTACACCTTTTTTTTTTTTTTTTTTGGTGGGGGTAAATTTTAAGATTCAACGGCCTCCTTATACGCGGAAATATACAGTATATGAAATATATCTACACATTCAGTTAAAAATAAAAATAATAGAATAGCCGAAAGCGCTCGTGTAATCTAAAAAAAGAAAAGAAAACACTTCAACGAACACAAGAAACATTGAATAAAAATCTGAATCGGAGTGCCTTGTCAGACGTTTTTAATGAAACATGTTTAAAAGAGGGATTCCCGCTCACATACACATTGAATATTACTCAAATATTAATCTACGCCTAGGCTTTTTCCTTATTTCACCTTTCTTAACAGAATTACTACTCTCCCAAGCAAATGTACACAACAGTATCAAGAAATCAAAAGAAAATGGTTGAATCAGTCAACACAACAATAAAAACAATATCTCCACACGTGAGTAATTGACGTAATTTTCAGTTAACAGTATGAAAATAGTGTTCTCTAAATTCTTCCAGTTGATAAGGAGATTTTGTTTTGTTATTATTAGTTACTTTGTTTAATAAATTCATTTCATCTTTTGCCTGGAAAAAGTACA